ATAAAATGGTCATAAACATCTTACACATAAAAATCTATAAGAACATAAAATTCAACACACTCTGCGTCTCTGTTTATTTACAGTGTGATGCCAACAGATTAGAATTCTGAAACTGGAATTATTTATACATTAAATTGCTGTCCTACAGCCTAACAAAGGAATCACTTTATTAGGCTCGAAATCACTTCAGAGCAAAGTGATTTTAATTTTACTGATTGAACAGGTATCCTCTGTGTCTTCTGTGTTCTACTAGCTGCAATACCAGCATTGTAAAAGAGACTTGGCACCAGATTACATAATATATGTAAAAAATAAATCGACATTTTCTGCATCACCAAATTAATACATACAAATTCTAGCAATGCAGGCACAGTTTGCATTGCTGTAAAATTGCAGCTGGGCTTCATTCTTTATGTTAGTAACTTACATCTTAACAAGGTGCACAAATAAAACATATAGCCACAGCAGATAATCCAAATTTATATCACACTTATTATATGCCATCAATTAAAAAAAACTTCTAGATGAGCCAAAACTCAGAACATAACCGTATTCTGACCAAGTTTTGTGTTCAGCATAAGTTACCATTGTGATTTATCCAGGCAGAAATAAAATAATTTTTGTACCACAGAAAATTCTTGACTTTAAGATCAACACCTTGCTTTGTAGCAGAGCCCTCACACCAAGACAGCCTGTGTAGAGTAGGATGACTGAATTAATCAGCACAGAGCTAAATGTCATGTCGCATTGTGACCTTATTGTTGTTTAAAGCTACCAGTTGTATAAAGATCAATAATTTTTTCACAGATTTTGTAGGTTTGCGTGCATCAACAGGCTCAGTTTGTTTTTGTTTCTAGCTTTTCCTTGTTTTAAAACTGCATTTTACGAAAAGTTGTTTGAAGGTCGTGGAGCAGGAAAGACCAGATTAGATCAACTAAGTAGGTCAGGTGGGAGTGACCTGTTTGATTGGTACGGTTTGGCTACACAACAGAGTTGATCAAATCTAGTGGCAAATCGCAGAGCAGCCATATAAAAAAATGTTTATTTTGCCAAACAACTTGCCTTCTGAGTCTATAGTGAATTCTAAAATAACTAAATAAATAATTGCGATTAGCCATTTTGCCTAAACATGGTTAAATCTGGAGATTATGGTCTAAGGAGCTTGGAAAGAAAGTGACTGAACCCTCATCCAGGATTATTTTCTTATAAAGCCAAATGGCCTATTGGCCGTGCACCTCACCACACACACCAAGGTGTGGAAAAAGGCGTGGGTCATTCTCAGCAGAGGTTTTGGTTGAAATCATTGTGAAACCTTGGAGGTTCTCAGTCATCTAGGTCAGATTGTTCTGCCACTATCTACAACTCTTGTGAAATAAAAAAAATAAAAAAATAAAGCCACAAACACACAAGTGTGTTGCTTCACAAGTCTAGCAAATGTCCTTTAAGGTGCTTTTAACATGATTTGAGGACGTGAGATCTGTCAAGCACAACAAATGCTGCGCGAGACATCTCTTACTCCCTCTTGTGGTCTTTTCTGAAAATAGTCACAAAAAACATCTTGACACATGCTCAATCATCCAGGTAAGTACATCTCCACAAGTTGGTTCATCTGAACGTTTTCTCCCACTGAAAACGCTACGTCCAGATGAACAGAATCAACTTTTGGAGAGTCACAAAAAACATTTGTGTTTGGTAACATCACTTCTAACAACTTAAAACCATTTCATTATAATCTTGTTACGGTCAATTACAGAACATACAGAAAAATCATCAACACTTTGAAAATAATTACCCTTTATTGAGGATTTCAGAACAGCTGCAAGTGTTTTATTTATTCTTTGTCATCAGCTGAAAAAAATAGTTTGGTTAGGAATGTGAAAACTGCTTCTACTTTAACAAACAACCAGGTGAGAGTTTAATAATTAGTAATTATGTTGCCATTTGTAGCACATGCGTAAAAGCCACATTCACTTTTATTGTGTGGAATGTAAAAATATTGAGATTTGGTACATTCAAACTAAACAGATATTAATCAAGTAGAACAGAGCACTGAGTCACTTCAGTGAGAGCCACACCAGCACTGTCTCCACTCTTTCACTCACCAAACCTTGAAATGAACAGAAGACCTGTTACATCTTAAACTGATATGGATTCAGATGGAAAATGTTTCTGACTTAGAGGGAAGTTACTTGTCAGCTCAGCATGTAGTTAGATGGCGGCCGGATGGTCGATGTAGTGAAGATGTTAAGTTGATACTGAGCCGTTGTACAGAAAGAGTCCAC